AATCATACAGCACGGAAACAGACCCTTCGGTCCAACCAGTCCATGCCAGACATAATCTCAAACTAAACTAGTCCCACCTGCCTGATCCTGGCCCATATCCCTCTAAACCTTTTCTATTCATGTACTTATTATTTTGATCTCTTCCCAATTATCTGGATTTTCTCCATCTAGTAATTATCCTAACACCTCTCCTACTTCTCATTCACTTTATTTCTTCTTTTTACAAATACTCAGGCTCTCTTGCTCTCTCTCCCCTCACTTTACTGTCACACTCTCGACCATTTGTTTTTGGCCACGATCAGACCGACTTTGACCTTTTGTTCGTGCCATTATCTCACCCTTACTTCCAGCTCATCTACTCACTATTCACACGTTGATCTTTTCCCCCGTCACTACAGGCATCTCTGTATTTTTCCCCGCCTCTTTTTCTACAATGGCATTGATCTCTCTCTCTCTTTAACTGATCAATTTTCTGTCATTTTTCAATAATTCACGGCCCCCCTGTCCCTACACAGCCCCATCAAACCCTACCTCTTCAGATCAAATCCTTCCAAACTTTTCCCACTCCTCCCATGTCCTATGTCACCCTACAACGCCTGACGCTTTGTGCTGTAACCAGTGAATTAAATTTGCTTATTCAAGAGGTCATCTATTTAAATCTAGTATCAGGAATTTGCAAAATTGGTATTGCTTCACACACACACAAAAACTTTCAGCATCTCGATCAATTTCTGGAGGTGGGATCCATCAAAAGTGGAAACTCTGAACATTTTAGAAAAAGAAAAACCTTTAATTTGAATTGTAATTGAAATAAATCATTTTGGTGGTAATTGGGGGAAAAGAAAAAAGTCGAGTCTTTGGTTTTCCTAAGAATTTTTTTGTATGTTTTGGGAAAGAAACACAGCTAATGATTTGTCACGAGTCACAGTATCGCCAGCGGCTCTCTTGATGCAACATCCAGGCAATGAAGCTGATTCATTGGGAGTGCTGTCACAGGGACCGCGCAGAAAACATCTCTTCCCCTTTGAAAAGAAACCCCCACCCCACCACCCCACCAAAATCAGCACTCAGGGAATTATGCAAGGGATACAAACAGTTAAACCCTAAACCGCAGAATAAACTAGCGAAAGGTCACTTGAGCACTTCTTCAGAGAAGGAGAGAGGAGTTGGAGCACTTTTTTTTTAAATGGCTCTTTGGGGAGGAAGAGCCAAGGAACAAATTACTCCGGTCGAATTCCCGAGGACAGTTGCGTCCGCTGAGGCAGGTTGGTTAAAATGGCCTCCCCGATTTGTGGTTTGGATTGTGTCAGGGGAACAGCAGACCCCCATCACCTTCTCTTCCAACACACCCCCAGCCACGAACGCAGTGTCCCTTTAAAAATGAACTCCGATCTGATGAGGGAAGGGGCCTCCGGTTTGACTACTCCATACCCCTGAGCTCCAAAGCCTATTTCCGCCTCTCGGCCTCCGAAACTGAATGCCAGCTGCTTTAAAACAAAATGAACAGCAGTTCGGTTGCTGGGGGGGGCGCGAAAGAGAGGTCGAGGTTGCAATTTTGTGACCTCTTCAGATGTATTTGGTGTTTTGCCAGGCTTAATTAACAAAAAGAGAGATTCCTATTCGCAATATTAGGCAAGAGTCGCGAATCCAATTAGGGGAAGGAAGGCAGACTCAGAATCGGGAACAAACACAAACACGTCCCCCCCCCCCCCCCCCCCGCGCTGATACTCAACTCCGAAGGGACGATCACGGAGGGGAAGGGACTGCTAACTGTAAGCAAAAGTGCACCAACAACGCTTACTCATGTCTGCACCTATATAAAGCGAAGGAGGGGGTGGGGGGGTGGTGAGAGAGAGAGAGCCAAACCGAGCCAGACAGATCAGGAAGACTGCAACAACAAAGACAGAAACAGACACTTTGTAGCGATCCAGCCAAAAAGCGCCAGCCTGAAACTGACTGACACACTCGGATACAATTAACTTACTTTGTAACAGGTTCCTGAAAAGTTCGCTACACCTAGATCCTTGAAGCAAACCTTCCCCACACCCCCACTCTCCTCTCCTTCAGTTTTGTTGCTGGGTTTGTTTTGATTCCGTCAAGATGATCATATGACCAGCACCACAAACCCTCCCCCATCCCCTGTCACATGCTCCCGTGTCATCTGCAGCCTTAAAGCGAGGATGTCTCTCCTTATTCTCGACCACCCGTTTGTGGGGTTTTTTTGGATGTGAGGGTTCCGAGGATAAATGCAAATATTCCAACATCTCATTTCTTTTTGAATCCCTCCATAAAAGTATAATTGCCTCGATAGGGAGTGCACCAGTCGCTGATTCTCATGGGGTTAGTGAGGCTGGGTCTAGTCTAGTTAAATCTCAGTCCCTCAGGTCAGAGAGGGAAGCATATCCGCGTCCACCCATTCCTCCCCAAACTCTGTGAAAATGCCACACTTGGTTATGACGCTCCCTGTAGTCGAATGTCACCGTATCAGCTGATGCTCTGGGGATAACTCCGAGGCGGAAGTTTGTGGGTTCGCGATTCTGTTCCAGAGACTTTAAACACAAAATGCATTGTCCCTGAGCAGTCAGCTGAATGAACGGGTCGGGTCGGGAACGAGTGGGGAGTCGGGGGAGGGTTGAGTGGTGGTGGGAAGAGGAGAATGGTTTTTGAGGGGGAAAAAGGGAAAGGGAAAGGGAAAGGAAGGTGGGAAAGGGAAAGGAAGGTGGGAAAGGGAAAGGAAGGTGGGAAAGGGAAAGGAAGGTGGGAAAGGG